CTCTGGGTGGGGGGGCTTCTGGCTCCTAAGGAGCAAGTGGCAAAGCCAGCCCTGGGGCTGAGCACCCAGGTGCAGGGCACCCTAGGTTACATCCGCCCAGCCTCAGCCCATCCAGCCCTCACTGGAAGCTGATCAGGAGGCCCTACCCCTTGCCCTGTCCCTCTCAGAGCCAGCAAATGTCACATGTGGGGAGACGGAAATGTGGGCCGGTGACAGGTAACCCAGTTCTGACCCGAGAAGCAGGATCATGGAGCCCGGCTCCACGTCTCCAGAACACTCAGGTTCTGGTGTTTCGCCCCCCAGCCTGCTTGAGGCGGGGTCCTGCTGCCCCCCAAACTCTCAGACTCCTCATTCAGGGCCGGTGTCAGGGTCCAGGCTTCAGCTGGGTTTGGGGTCCCCCTACGCTACCCAGAGTCCAGGGCCACAGGGCAAGCCAACTGACAAAGTTGGTGGCCCGCCCCCCCCAAACCTCCAGCCTGCCTCAGGCCTCGCCCACGTCCCAGGAGGACCCCGCCAGCCCCGGTGTAGGAGGAAGTCAGGGCTCCCTGAGACAGGGGGCTCCCAGCCTGGGCTGCTGTCGGTGGACGGTGAAACTCTGTGCCTGGCACCATGACCCTCCGTCCCCAGTCTCCCCTAAAGTAAACTGAGTTGCAGTGGTTACTGATGAGTCTGATTCTGTGCCCGAGCGTACATTAACTTGTCCCTGGATTAACTGAGAGCACAACACAGCAGCCTCTGGAAAGATTGTAAACGTGCATACCCCGTCAACGTGGCAAGTCCTCTGAGGTCTGTCCCTCCGCGGTGGGTCAAATGACGGACCCCAAAAGATCTGTCCAAACCCTAAGCCCCAGAACCTGTGAACGTGACCTTCCCTGGAAAAAGCGTCTTTGCAGATATAAGGGTCTTGAGATGAGATCACGCTGGACTACCCACACGGGCCCTAATCCCAGCGACGAGTGTTGGAGCGCAGAAGGGGCCACACACAGGGGGTAAGGCCCTGTGAAGCCAGAGGCAGAGACTGGAGGGGCGTGGCCACCAGCCCAGGAGCCCCTGGAGCCCCCAGAAGCTGGAAGAGGCAGGAAGGACCCTCCCTGGAGCCTCCAGAGGAAGCACGGCCCTGGGACTCCTTGTTTCAGACTCTGGGCCTCCGGATCTGTGAATCGATCTCTCTCATTTTAAGCCACCCAATTCCTGAAAGTTTGTTTTGGCAGCTAGAAAGCCGATACAGCACCCTCGAAAGATGCTTGGCGATGTGCACAGACGGATGTGTGCAAGAGCATCTCTAGAGCGTGGTCGGTCAGGGGGCGAGCATCGTGGGGCCCAGAGCGTGTCCGTCCGCGGGCCGGAACCCTGCGCAGGACCGGGCGGGCTGGCTCGCTTGGCGTGGTCACGGAAGGACTGCGTTCGAGCGAGGCAGCCAGCCCAGCAAAGTCTGGGGCAAGATCGCTCCGGGCAGATGGAACTATGTCCCTACCGAAGAGGAGAGGGCGGGGACAGGGGACGGGACAGGTGCTGCTTGGGACCAGGCCAGTAGACTCCAGCGAGGGAGGGAGGTGCTCCGTTTTTCCAGAGCACGAAGGTTTGAATGTAAACTTTCTTCCTGTGGGTCCTGGGCAGCGTGTTTGAACCGCGGCGGAGCTCTTTAGTTGTCCGGGCCATACCCAGTCCAGTTAAACCAGACCTCCGGGGTGGGGCCCAGCTGTCGGATTCCCCCCACCTGGGGTTCCAATGTGCAGCCACATTCGAGAACCAGTGGAAATAACGGTTCAGGGCTGAGGGTTCTAGTCCCAGGGAGGGCTGCTGTCGGCTAGCAGCCCACTCTGTCCCAAGCTTCTTGCAGACATAACTCCATTCGATTCACCCAACAGTCCTGCGGTGTAGACATTTTTAATCTGACTGTCTGCATGAGGATCCAGGCTCAGGCGATGTGACTTATTCAAGGGGACACAGCAGGTTAACCGCCCAGGGATTCATTACCCGCTCAGCCTGACCCCACAGCCCGTCTGCTGCGCTGCGTACGGCTGTGCAGCTTTGGGTGGGTGCCTTCCCCTCTCTGGTCCCCCACTCCCTTATCCATAAAAAGAGGGGTACGAGATGCTGTGTCAGGATGCATGATCCAGTCCTGCCCACCCAGGTCTCAAATTAGCAGTCACATGGTGAGGGCGTTAAAAACTGAGGAGCATCTCGGTGGGCAAATGGCAAGGGGCCGGCTCTGGGCACCCAGGCGTGTCATCAATGTGACAGATGGTTTAGAGAGTGGGGACCACTTGCTGCGGGGTGGGAGGCGCCTCGTGGAATGGCTTTCACAGACTCGAACAATCATTTCGACTGTAGCAGGCCGACATGGGCACCCGGCTAACTTCCTGGCGAATGAGCAAACAGGACACATGTCCCCGCCAGGCACTGCACAGGTGTTCCATTCTCGGCCCGTCCTCGTCCCTCATGCAGAGGACACTGAGGCTCAGAGGACTCGGCGGATTGCTCCAGGATGAATAGCTTGTAAGTGGGAGATGGGGCGAGTCCCCCAGACAGCTCCTCAAGCTCTGTCTTGCCACAGGCTTGAGGAGCAAATATTTGTGGTTTTTATGGTATCGGAGAAGATTTTTTCCCCCTACTTTCTATTTTAAAGTAATTGTAAATTCACAGGAAGTTGCAAAAAAAATACCAGGAGGTTCTGGGTCCTTGTCACCCAGCTTCCCCCACTGGTTACACCTTAAGTGACTGTAGAATCTGATCTGAACCAGAGAGTCGTTGGTCCCGTGTGTGTGTGTGTGTAGCTGTCACGTTATCACGTGTCGGTTAGATGCAGCCGCCGCCACTAAGATGCAGAACTGACCCACCCGAGGCTTCCCGCCTGCCACTGCTTAGGGCCACACCTGTGCTCGATACTGCATGCAGGATGCAGGTCGGTAGTCACCCCCCACATCATCCCCTGCCCCCCGTTTCTTCCTCACAGATGCCCCGTTTGATCAGAGGGGCGATGGGTCCCTCTTAATACTCATTTTCCCAGCCCGCCTTGAGCCGGGGGTGGCCCTGCCACCAATCCTGGCTCAGAGAATGTGATCAGAAGCTGCCGGCAGGCCCTAAGGTCAATGTGGCAATGAGTCCTTCCTCCCCAGACTTGAGCACAGACCACTGAATGCTCAGCAGCCACCCTGAGGCCACATGACTGGAGACACCAAGAGAGTCACAGAGAACACAGGCCGGGCGTCTCTGGGCAGTGAGTAAACGCGCTACCTCTGGGTGTGGTGCTGGGAAAAGGGAGCCCCATTTGTTCAGGCCAGTGGTTCTCGGGGTGACTTTGCCCCCGGAGGACACGAAGACGTATTCGGTTGTCGCAACGAGTGTTACCGATGTCTAGTGAGCAGAGGACAGAGAACCTGTCCCTAACGAGGAATCATGTGGCTCCAAGTGTCAACGGTGACACCCCAAGTTAGGCCGCTGTTAGTTGGGGTTTGTTTCCTGCAGCTGGCAACAGTCCTGACGCGGATGCCCTCCCGGGCACCCGGCCTTCTGGCAGAGGGGGCATGAAGAAGCTGGGCCCATGCCAGCCTCCACCGCTCACTGGTTCCCCTAAACCTAGGATTTAACCCACCCGAGTCTCAGCTTGGGGAGAGGGGTACGACAACCAGGAACTTCTGTCAGGCAGTGAATATGATACAAATGCCACTTTAATGTAGAAAACCAAACTCACGTGCACACATAAATACTACGTGGGGGCATAAATAAAGTAGGAAAATAAAGAGAGATGTGCATATCAAACAAAATAAATTAGTCATAAATAGCACGTTGGTGACTAAGTGCTGGAAAACTCGGTCCCTGCTTTCACTTCCTGGCAAGGGCTGGGGCTTTCGAATCGTTTTTTCTGGCTTTTGAGTGAAACGTGCCGGTCGACCGAAGGTGGGAACTGTCCATTCCCCAGGCTCAGAATGACGTGGTGCCAGGGGCAGGGGCGGGAAGCGGACGTGGCTTCTGCATCTGTTTTTCTCTCGTCAATATCCGTAGCATTCCAAGGAGAAGCCAGCGTGCCAACGTGACAAGGACGACTAGGAGGGGACAGGCTGGCGGGGTTCCTTCTCAACCGCCCTCACGGGACACCCCTACTACTTGAGCTAATTGGATTCCCCGGAACCTTGCGTCACCGTGCGAGGAAGGGTGTTTGGGACCGGCTGTCTGTCCTGTCCCTCTGAGCAGATGGCAGAATGGCCATTCTCTTTGGGGGAGCCAGGCTGAGGCCAGGCGAGTGTTGGCTGTGTGCAGGGTGCTGGCTGTCAGGAGAGGGCTGAGGGCAGTAGGTCAACTGCCCGATTTGCCCTGGGTGTACCGCCAAGTAGGATGGTGGATGTTACTGACCCCAGAACCAGCCATCAGGGGGAGCCTCACCATTTCCCCAGGCTGCAGGGGGTGCTGGGTGCCCCCTGCTTCGGAAGCCTGCTGGGCCACGCCCACACCGTCCGTTCTGTCCTGTCCTGTCCTGCGAAGGCTCAGGGAAGGTCAGCAGTCCCCACTGGAGTCGAGATCTGGGTCAGTTCTCATATGCGGTTGAGTCGAATTCACCTGTCATTTCACAGGGCCGATCACCTGTAAAGTTTCGCAGTGACTTCTGGCTGTCCCTGCTGGAAACGACGGGGGACAAGGGCAGAGAAATTTCAGCGTGGCACCCGCTCTCCCCAAGATGGCAGGTCCCCTTCGGTGGAGGCATTCAAGCAGAACTGGGGCAGCACGTGGACAGCACGTGTCCAGCAACGAATGACCAGGGCGTGGGGTAGGGAGCTGGGATAGTTGGGATAGCACCTGGGTAGGTGGAGAGCTTACCGTTTCATGATCATACGAGTCTACCCGCTAGAAACGGCCAATGTCAAAGTGTCTATATACAAGTTCTAGAGGTTTCTTCCTAAAGCTAAATAAGACATGGGCCCGGGATTGCTACTTGGAGAAGCGCGGCCAGAGCCGGGCCTGGGGCCCTGGCCTCTAGGGCTGGGGGCGGCCAGAGCCTCCTGTTACTTCTGGAAGCTGGGACTTTCCTCCAGCCCCAATTTACTGGCGATCCCAAAAGGGTCCATGTCGTCTGTCTCCAGGGGCGAGGAAAACGTGTCGGCCTCCAAGTGGTCTTCGAAGTTCTCGGGCTCCGTCGGGCTCCTGGGCAGCATGGGGAGGAAATGGGACAGGGGCAGGAATCCCCTGTCCTTGTACAGTTGCCTCTGCTTGGCACTGCTCAGAGAGACGGGGAGGTGGTGCTTCTTGGAGTGGTACACGTTGTAGCCGTCCGGGCGGATCTCCTCCTCGAAGGCGCAGTCGTCAGCGGAGTACTGAAGCTGCGGAGAAAGGGGACAGACAGCCTGTGAGCGCCAGCGGGCGGGCGCCCCCTCCCGGCGGGCCGCCACGGGAGGCGGAGGCCTGCACAGGTGGGCGGGCAGCGGCGTTATGTGCAGCCACCTGATCCACACTGTGTGTGTGTTTGTGTGTGTGTGTGTGCGTGCGTGTGAGTGCGCACGCACGGTTAAAGGTTATAAAGTACACAATAAAATATAAAGATATTTAAAGTATGATTTATAAATTTAAATTTATAAAACATATTTATAAATTTAAATT